GGTAGGCCCAAGCGCATAGTGAGGGTCTGCTGGGAACGTCTGGCAGAGGGTCATGTTCGCTGGAGCTTTAACTCGTGCCTCCGGCAGAATTTCAACTGCATACTGGGGGAGGTTGGGGACATTAATCCCTTGTATGGATCCTTTGTATGGACATGTGTTTAAATGAATAAAATAAAGATTCAAAAAGTGGCAGTACTTGTGCAAATGGCAAATAAAGCATGTTTGTAATTTAGTGCCGTAAATGAAATTATATTGGTGCGATGTCTAAATGTGATACAAAATTTCTCTGTCATTATTCTAGTGATTATATCGCAGATAAACCTAGTCCTACCCCACCCCCCCATCCAGAAAAAATAAAAATGAACTATCTGTCTTTCATTTAAACGGCCAGGACCGGAACCGTAAGACTCATTATTCCCATTGCTACTCTTTACTGTGGTTTTGATTGTGTGTAGATGAGAGTTTGATCCGTGTTATGTTGCTGATTATCGTTATTATAACGTGTATAGTTCAATGTTTCTTTTGAACTGATAAATGCATTTATTGTTGTGAATTATGTTTATCTGAAGTAAAATGTAAACCTTGTTACAATTCTCTTTACTTCATATTCTTAGTCAGTGAGCGTGTATTTAAACACCTGCTGGGTATTAGTGTTTAGTACCATCAGGGAAAACCCCATACCTAACCCATTATACAGCGAAGAGGTGATCTAGGGGGAACCCCCATACCTAACCCATTTGACAGCTAAGAGGTGATCTAGGGGGAACCCCATACCTAACCCATTTTACAGCTAANAAGAGGTGATCTAGGGGGAACCCCCATACCTAACCCATTTGACAGCTAAGAGGTGATCTAGGGGGAACCCCATACCTAACCCATTTTACAGCTAAGAGTTAATCTAGGGGGAACCCCATACCTAACCCATTATACAGCTAAGAGGTGATCTAGGGGGAACCCCNCCCCATACCTAACCCATTATACAGCTAAGAGGTGATCTAGGGGGAACCCCATACCTAACCCATTTGACAGCTAAGAGGTGATCTAGGGTCCCAGATTTCCTAACCTCCTAGGTACTGGGCGCTACAGTTATATATTTTGCTTAAGGTTGTACTAATTTTATTTCTAGGCAGTAGCTAGAAATGCCCCTGGCAACGGACAATGCTTGTGAAAAACTGCAACAAATAGCTACTGTGTAACAAAATGTAGGGTGAAAAAGCGAACGTGTGTTTTTGTAATTATTACGTTATGATTAAAATATTATTTAAAACCTGTACAATTAGGTCCCCACTATAAACCTCAATAAAAAAAATGAATACAATCAAAAAACTAACAATGCTTTTAACAAGAACTGTTTTGTTTGGTTACATATGCTTAAGGTTAGAGTTGGGTAGGGGTTAAGGTTGTCATACTTAGGATTAGGGTTATGCCCATAAATATGAATGGGTGGTCCCCACAAAAGATATGAATACAACCCTTTTTTTGGACTTCATGGGATAGTGTTTTTCTGTAATTCGTCGAGTGAATTCTACAATTCTACGAATGCTACAAAATTCTACAATGCTACAAAACCTTTTTTTTCCCACCTGTGCTTCTTAGAGAAATGGCTTTGTGTCGGACCCTGGCCATACTTGCAGAACACCTGAAGTTTGCACGAATTCCTTTTGGCACAATGCAGCTTGAAATCAAGTTTAATGAATAAATGGATGCTTGTGTGAGCATCATTGTGAAATCTGTATGCAAGTGTGTTAACCTCCTATGAGAGTAATGACCTCTGTGCTGCTCCCAAAATAGATCTGCCAGGTGCACATGCATCAAAAACCAGATCACCTGCATATCCTCAGCCCTGTGATGTCTATTGTCACCATTTATTTTGTCTGATATTACTCATGGACTATAATTACATTGAGAGTCTGGTCTGGATACCGACAAGGGCCCTTTCAGTGTAGACTGTCTACATTGTCTGTGTCCAGAGAGATGAAGAGACATGAAAATTAAATGAAAATGTTAGTATATAAAAAACCAAAGAAATGTTCTGGTCCTCAGACTGGTACTAAGTGCAGTATAGTGACATCATATTTAAGAGGAACCTCCAAGTGTATCACTGGCAAACTGACGTGGGACCTCCCTTGTGCCCTCCTTCCAGGTCAAGAGGACTATGACCGACTGAGACCGCTGTCCTACCCAGACGCAAACCTCGTCTTCATCTGCTATGATGTCACAAACCCCACCAGCTTTGAAAATGTCCTGCTAAAGGTATTGACCTTAAATACATGTTTGCATGCAGTAAGCTGTCGTCAAATTACTGGATAAGAGATCCGATCAAATCAGTGATGCATCGTTAGCAAATGAAAGCCGTTCCAACCAGGCAGAGAACCATCCAGGAAATGCTCATACTGTTTATACTTATTTATTTCCCTTGGCAACAGTTTCCAAGAAAGAGGTATGTGCTTAACCCTGATCAAATAAATCCAGTTCAGTCTAACATCATCATGCTCTTGGGTGACTCAGTGGGTAGTGCTGCCCCCCCACCCCCTACACTTCCAGCCCTGGGGGTTTGAGTCCCACTCCCGCTCCGCATTGGGGGTTTGAGTCCGACACCCACTCTCTGTTGTGGGTTTGAGTCCTACACCCACTCTCCGTTAGGGGTTTGAGTTCCACACCTGATCTCTGTTGTGTGCTTCACATAAAGGTAGGTGAATCTTCATGGTCTTTTTCCACAGTGGTACCCAGAAGTTCATCACTTTTGTCGGGGACTGCCCATCCTCCTGATCGGCTGTAAGACAGACCTGCGCAAAAACAAGGAGCAGACAAGAAAGCTCCGGGCCTTGGGTCTGGCCCCCATAACCTACTTGCAGGTAAGGGAGAACATCTAGGTTTCATAGCTGCACAGAAAACCTTCAAACAGTTCAGCAGACAGTGGAGGCAGCATTTCCCCCCAGATTAAAAAAGCACAGCTGTCAGGAGGACATGAGAATTCTGCCAGGCAGCTGGTGTCCCCTTGTGCCTCTTTGTCTACTAGCTGGTGTCCCCGTGTGCCTGCTTGTCTGCTAGCTGGTGTCCCCTTGTGCCTCTTTGTCTGCTAGTTGGTGTCCCCATGTGCCTGCTTGTCTGCTAAAGGGTCCCCAGTCAGAATGCAGTCTCTGTAAGGGTTAGTATCACTATGCATGTGCTCCGTAGATCTGCCAAGCTCTCATTCTCCTTCCTTATACCTGTCTAGGGTGTGGAAGCCATGCGGCAAATGAAGGCAGAACTCTACCTGGAATGTTCCGCAAAGTACCAGGAGAACGTGATGGACATATTCAGAGAGGCAGTCAAGCGGGGGCTGACAGCAACCCAAAGGGCAAGGCAGGCACGCAGAAAGGCCAACTTTTGCACAATGTTGTAATACAGCACCCCCTGATGGACAGGCATGGAAACCAGTGTGGCCTATGAGAACTCAAAGACTCAATTAGACAGATGGATTCTCAGCCTCTTCACCACAGATAAAACATATCTGTTTGGGCCATTCAGTTCTTTGCAAGGTGTTTCCACTGAGGTATGAAAGCGTAAATATTTTATAGGAGACTGCTGGCAACCTGAGGGTCTCCATCCATAATTCACTCAACTGCTGAACTTAAGAACTAAGGACTTCTTTGCTGATTCCCGCCATTTTGTGCAGACGTGAATCAAAACTGTTACTGACTGTTATTTTAAACGAGAAGATATTTATTGATGCCTAATATGACCTACATTTGTTTTGCAGAGCTTTACTTTTTTAAATAAAGGAAAACTGTACTGGGATGCAAATTGGTGAGATTGTGACTGTGTGGGGTAAACTTTGCCAGAGCAACCTGCCATTTACTGACACACTCACAGATGCACACGTGCATGTGCACACAAACACACAAACACACACACACACACACACACATTTTACTGCAAACGGCATGCTATTGCTGAAACTTATGATTGTTTGTTTAATGTTTTGTCTCTTTATACTTTGTTCCTGTTTTGCGGTTAAACAACCAAGCATTTCACGACATATTGTACCAAGTATAACTGTGTGCTTGATACAACTTTTAATTGACACACTTACCATAGAAAAATTAAGGGCATTGAAAGTATATGTATGACACACACACACACGCAACATGAATACATCTTGGTGACACTGGTAGCAATTATTGTTCACTGTCTCTTTTTTGCAGTCAGCTTTTCCAGGACACATTACACCCACCTGCTGCAGAGAATGTCACAATAGGGCTGTTTTGCTGAATTTGGCTCCTGCTCAAAATGTTTCATGTGATAAGCCAGTGGGACACACGGGGTCAGTACTGGCCCATAAACAAATATTACAAAAGTTTGGTGTGGCCCCCAAACATTATTATACCAGGCCTTTTTCCTGAAAGGAAACAAGAGACATTACATATTACAAAACCTGAAAAACAATACCTTAAAAGTATTAGGATCACTTAAAATCATAAAATAGATATTGATGATATTTGTTAGTCTAAGTGCATATTGTAGCTTTCATATTAAAAGTCTTGGCTTGGCTACACCGTGCATCTTTGTCGCGGCAACCAGCCTCACTCACATGTGTTAGCTGTCTGTGGCCATGGAATCTTGCATTTCTCTTTGTAACTTTTAAACTTTTCAGTGCAGGTAATTTTCAATTTTTAATCATAATTTAGATGCTTTGTATACAACATAAAAAGGTCTACTGTTTGTTTAGAAATTGCTAATAGATTCTTACAGTTTTTCTCAGTTGCTTTGATGCATTTCTTACAACAGAATTGAAGTTCTCAAAACTGCTTGTTCAATTCCCACAACCTCTAGTCAGTTGTGCACATCATAACAGCAATTTCTGGCTGTTTTTGTCATTTTGCAATTGTTTTAGTGCACTCAGGCAGATGCTTATGTGCAATTCTCAGCTATATCATACATCAGCGGTTGCTTATGTCATGATGATCAAAATGCATTGTGCAAACCCTCTTTTGCATCATCTTACACTCCAAACAAACTTGTCATTTTGTCAAGTCATTGCAGTCAAAAGTTCAAGAAGATATCATTGGCTGTCAAGTGTATGTTATAGGTTTCTACAAAACTTTTTTGGTATGTATTCACAATACTAGCGATTTAACCAACTTAAACAGGAACATCACTATGTGTGCAGCTATTCCAGACAATGGGGTCCTCACTCACATCCCTCTTGTGGGGCCATACAACACCCAGCATCTGCTGACCTTCTTGAACACCCTCTACAGGGATCTCATTCCTGAAAAGGAGATTGGTCAAGAAAATGTACTAAAGTATGTGATCATTTGTGATAATGTGAGTTTCCATCACTCCTACCCAATCAGGCAATGGTTTGCCAACCACCCCAGGATGCTGATGGAATTCCTACCTCCATATTCCCCATTCCTCAACCCCACTGAGGAGTTCTTCTCAGCTTGGAGGTGGAAGGTATATGACTGTAACCCACATACACAAATGACATTGCTTGCTGACATGGCAGCTGCGTGTGGGGATATAATAGCAGACACTTGCAGAGACTGGATAAGATATTCTAGGTGGTTCTTTCCACGCTGCATTGCAAAGGAAGATATCTGTTGTGAAGTGGATGAGAACATGTGGCCCAATATACAGGACTGTCTGCAATTGCACAAAGCATTTAGAGTTTCAGTATGTATATATTGTTACCCTTTTTGATTTTGTAATTGCTTTTTTTTTCATTTCATATGATATGCACACAAGGCAAATAAGGCATTGAAATGCATTTTTTTGCTAGACTGCAATTGCAGTGCATGTTATGTCAACATATACTTGTGCAATAAATAAAATATTCTTCTTGAATCAATCTTCCGCAATCAGTGTTTTTTATTTTTATGTTTCATGCCCTTGTCATTTCATTCAGATGTTTTGTGCATCAGAAAATGTTTAGACTGTGCCAATTTTATATTGATGACATGACTTTACATTTTGGCTATCATGCCTGTGGATGATGATGTCCATGGACTTTGGATTCTGATGGCACTGATATATCCAGTGACGCAAATACTTGCTTTTGAGGCATGGGCTAAGGACTTTGGATTCAGATGTCACTGACATATCCAGTGACGTAAATACTTGCTTTTGAGGCATGGGCTAAGGATTATGTTAACATTTTATATTGTTTAAATTCTGGCATCTTCATCACTATCTTATTTGGTGCTCCAAACTTCCATTTAAACACATTTGCTGCTAAGGAATAACAACACACACTAACACTTATTAGAAAACCAATAAATGCTTCAGATTATGTAGCGGCCCATATCCACATTTTGTTAGGTTCCGTTGTTTCAGCCTTAATCAATGAACCAGACCAGAGGCGCTCTCTTTGGGAGGAAGGAGTTTAATTCCAAATGATGTTCTCTAGTGCAGTAGATGTAGTTACGCACAGCCTTCTCAACCTTCTTCTCCTAACCTGTGTGTCATACCAGCCTTTTCACAGAGTCTAAGACAATAGACCATGTTTGATCACAGCCAGGCAGGAGCCACAAGACAAAAGGTCAGGATCCAGACAATGGTGATGAATGAGTCGGTTCCTTGATCATCCTACCTTGTGGCAGCCTGACTTTTCAGTCTTGGTTAGGCGATTTGCATAGGATAGCACCTTGCCTTTTGGCCTCATTAGGGAGTGAGGACTAGGCACTTTCCTAATGACCATTACTACCATCGGTTTGATTACAGGTGGCCACAAGCTAGGATTTGTCTGTTACAAGTGATGTTATAATCAGTAATCACACAAAGGAATATAGTAACATCCTATCATTTAAACAAAAACATTGTGGAAACAGAAAATGAAACAAATCAGTGTGATATTTACTGCAATGACCCATGATGACCAGGTTCATTAAAGAATTAACTGGGAATATTCAGGTGAGAATGTGAATTAAGTCGTGTGGTATTTTCCTTAGTATTTGTAATGAATTTCAATAATATATGCAAGAAATAAATGGCAACACATTGCAGAATCTAATTGCTTTACCTGCTGTATTGTAAAGAGTCGCAATAATATCTCATAGTGGCCTAAACAACATGATAATGTCATATTGTCATCTTTGTGGCAATTTCCATCCCTTCCAAGTATTATGTGTGTATTTTCAAAACATAACCCCGTGAATGTGGTGTTACTGTATTAAGTAAATTTCTGGTGTCTGTAGCAATAATAGCATTACAAGTCAATGTAAGTACAAATATTAACAAACAAATATGTTCCATCCATCCATTATCTGTATCCACTTGTACTACTCAGGGTTGGGGGGGGGGGGTTGGAACCTATGGGCGCAAGGCAGGGAACAGAAGCAGGATCAGGAGCAGGATCAGGAGCAAGAGCAGGATCAGGAACAGAAGCAGGAGCAAGAGCAGGATCAGGAACCGGAGCAGCAGCACACAC